AAGCTCAAATCCACTTCTGGATAATTGAAGCCCCCATTATTATCATAATATCAAATGTGCATACTGAGTTTGTGATTAACTTCTAAAACTCATCATCTTTCTCCTTCCTTCCAGTCTGCAGTATATTCCAACATATATGTGTGTTTACATCCTGTTCACTCACCTGCTAATACTCACACAAATGTTTTCTGCCATATTTATTCACTTTAGTTTGTAGATTTTTCTCATAAAAGAATGTTTTTTACATACAATGCTACTCCACCATCCCTTTTATCCAATTGGTTCCTTTTGAAAAAGGCTTGTCTTTTCTTTGCTATTTACTGAGTATGGGATATCAGGAAAACAATTGGATATCACTGTACCAGATTTCCCTAATCTTCAAAATAAGTCCCTATCTATACCACAGAAATTATTCTGAGGATATTTCTATATTTTAATACTTTAAAAATACAATATTTTTATAATGTGGATACTTCCACTATAAAGCCTCTACATCTTCAGGAGTTGCTATAGAAAAAAAAAATTCACCTCCTCATTGTCAATCTTCTGCTCTTTTCAAATTCAGACTCAAAGCTTCCAAGAACGCTAGACTTAAGAGTTAAGTGACAGCTAGATTAGGAATTTGTCTTTGATACTCACTAGCTGTACAACCATGAGGGATCTCTGAAGCTCCAGTTCCTCAACTGTGGGGGATATAACCCAGTGTGCAAGCCTAGATATTTTCATAAGATTTTCCTTATAGGTGGAGATAATGATTACATTATCTCCATGGGGGAGGGGTAGAATTGGCAAGAGCTTGGGAAAGGAGAGCTTGCTTCCTCTGGTTTCATTCTTCAACAAAAGAGACACCTGGTTCTGAGAAAGTTCTGAGAAAGAAGCTCCATGAGAGAGAGAAAAATCTATGGGAAGAGGCAAACATGCAAAGGAGCCCGAATTTCAAAAATGTCATTTCTAACTTGTTTTAACTAGTGACTTTAGGGAACTTTCCCATGAGTGACATTAAGTGCTCTCTTTTTCTCTCTCCAGTGTCTGATGTATTGTGATTGTCTCTTTGTTATTGACATGAATAAATGGGCTTATTCACTGATGAATATTTGTGATGGTCTTTGGTGTTTGGTTTATAGGGACTCAAGCTTAAGGACACTACTTCCCCATTAAGGGATAGAGGCCATAAAAAGTGGCTTGAATCTAAAAATAATTTACCCCTCAACTAGTAACATTTAGGGAGGTGGATAGGTATAATTATGGTATGGTATACCCCCTCTGAGGAGAACAGTGCAGGCCAGACTCATAGACCCAATCTCATCCTCCTCTCCAGAAAGAATCAAAGTCTCCATTGAAGTAGAATTCCAGAGATATCTATTCATACTTCCCTGTAAGCTGCATTTAGACAAACCCATATGGACATAACACACAACTACATGAGCAACGACACACACATATGCATATATCCTACATTAATAATATCTGTAGTATTTGCCTCATGGTATTGTGAAAATACAAGGTATATGCAGTGCTTTTTAAACTTTAGCACTCTGTGTGTGTGTGTGTGTGTGTGTGTAGAGAGAGAGAGAGAGAGAGAGTTTTTATTATTACAGTTTATTGCCAGCTACATTATAAAAAAGATTTCTGGCTTGGTAGAATCTACTAAAGATTGTACTCCATTAGAATAGCCTTCAAGAACCCAGGGTCAAGTGCACACTACATTGAGACATCACATTTCATAACATTTTGCCTTAGTGGAAATTTTATACCTACAAAATGAAATAATAAATGCAAAGTCATTTTTTGAAAAGATGATAATGCAATACAGTATATTTTAAGTAAAAAAGGTAGAGTTGATATGGAATTTGTTTTATGTGTTCTGAGAGTAGGGACTAGATGGATATATATGCACAAGCCCTGTTTCCCCACAATGCTGGGGGTAAAAAGTTTCTAGATCATTGAAGGAAATTTTCTTTGGACTACAATTCACAGAAACCTGTTCATGGACTCTGCAGTATGACCATGTCACCCAGCATGGACTCTTTTTAGCCAGGCACACTGCCAGTGTACAGTTTTTAAAAGCGGATGAATTTCACCAGGGAGGCTAGAGAGAAAAGAGGGAAACTTGCAGCTTCATCTAGACCAGACCATGGGAAGCATCACCAAGGGATTCAATGAACCCTAGACTACAGCTGCTGTGCCCAGAGAAGTCAAAAATTGTTGGGTTGGTTTTTTTCTTTTACTTCCACTGTAACAAGTTTCCCTAATACCTTTCAGTGAGTGATCTGATATGTCCTTCTCTTGTGTTGGGGAGACAGAAGGGTTAATTGGGAATTGATTAGCACTATTGGGATACATGCTAGAATTAGCACCTACGTGGAACTGGGTGCTGAGAGTGGTTCTTACCTTACTCAATTCCTTGTTTATTGAATTGCCATTTTATTTTAATTAAATTTCTTTGCATTAATTCATGTGTTATCAGGATTGTTCTGGTATAAACAGAGCTGTGATTTTTTAAAAATAGATAATCACTTTTCTAATGGTCGTATGAACCTGGGTATAAGAGAAAAGACACATCAAAGAGTACTAAGTTAAATTAATATTTAACTTATGTCATTTAATTATGCTCTCAAAATCTCTTAACATGAGGAAATAGCTTGGTATAGAAGAGGAAAAAGTATCTGAGATCAGGTCTCAACTTTACTTTTAACTATCTCTGATTCTGTGTAGATTGGGAGGTTGGATTTCTAAGGTACTTTCTGGCTCTAAATCGATGATCCTATGAATCTTTATTTCTCATTAGCAAATGGAGAAATTGAAGGCAGGAGAAAATAAGTATCTAAGTAGGTACTTTATAACTGCTTGTGGGGTTGAATTAAGGATAGTCCATGTAGAGGTAGATTCCTTACAAATTTTTATTCACTCACATTGCTCCTCCTTTACATATGTTCCATTCTAAATGATGTTCTTAGTATATCTTCAGAGCTGCTTATTGAAATTTGCTGATATCATGATTCCATTTCCCTTTAAACTCTGAAGGAAAATGAACTAATAAGGATTTCAAATACAGCAATTTACTGCATACTTCATACTGCATAAAACATACTAATACTGTATAATTGTACAAGAAACATCTTTTAAAATGTTAGGCTGGGATCTTCTCTCAGTTTGCAAACGTTGTTTCATCTATTAGGAATCAACCAATCATTAAGTATTTGTTAAGTGTCTATGATATAGCTGATGTAGGAACCTAGCGTAGCCAAGGACAATGCTAGGTGCTAGGAATAGATCAGGTAGTATTTAGATCCTAAATTTCACCTCTCAGGGCCTCTCATGGCTGTACTGGATTATCAAGGTTGAAATCCCATAGTACTAATACCTACCCTACAGGTTAGATTACTTCACAATTGACTTCCTTACATGGCCATATAAATATAGACTCTTAATGAATACTATTACATAATGATAGTGATCATTTAAAAAGATGTCCACCCTTTTACAAGATGTTATGCCCAGGTCTCTGTTTCATAACCAAAGGTGTGGGTGGAGAGGGAGAGGAAAAACTTGATAGTATCTTGAGGGAAAAAAAAAACCACTACTGTGCAAATTGGCAAATAAGATATATGAGTAAAAGTTACTTAGATATAGCCTTTCTTTCTTAGCTATAACTCTCACTCTCTCTTTCTCTCTCTTTCTCTTTCTTCCTTTCTCTTTCTTTCTTTATGTCACTCTCTTTTTTCTCTCTGTCAATTCCCTATGTATACATGTACATATTTATACATAAAATGCTGGTTTTACATAGTATATGCTATATTCATTTAGATACATATGTAAATTATTGACTTCCTGCAAACTCCATGAAGATAAATTCTAAATCTTTAATATCGTTATGTTTCCCGAAGGACTTATAGAGCACACTAGTTCACTGTATATATTAGAAAAAGAGAAAGAGAGATGTAGTTCTATATACATATATGTATATAAGTAGGCAATATATATATATATATACTATGTAGGAAGGATATCTGTGGGTGTGTATTGGCCTACTCTATATTAGTAGAGATAGATGATATATCTACTTTACTTAACTAAGGCATGTGTGCATATGTTAAACTAGGCACTTTATAAGTCCTTAAGGAGATACAAAGACATTAAAAGTTTAAACTTTCATGGAGTTTGCAAGAAGTAAAATAGCAATTTTAAAATGTATTCATTTTTTCCATTTGAATTCTCCTAATCTCCTGATATGTTGATAGACGTGTGCTTATTGACATGTACCCTTTCACTTGGTTTTCTTTGCAAATCACAGGTAGCAGCACCCAAGCACTTCAGCACAAATCATAAAGGAGATTGTTTGGTTGCTCTCCATTTCTTTTCTTAATTCATTTAACAAGTCCCAATAGACTATTTTATTAAATCCCTTAGTGAATGGTTGAATGAATTAATCAATGACCAACAATTTCAAAAATAAGTCCACCAATGCCTGCCTACTTTGGGGAAAAAATTAAAAAACAAATCCCCCTTGGTGATTTTGCCAGTGATCATGATGCCAGCTACCAGGCTATCTTGTGGTGAGGGATTTAACTCAGCCATGTAGATAAAAGCAACAATAACACTTTTAAGTGGTTCCTACTCATTGTTGATGGAAGAAAAGGTACTGACAGCTGATTCAAAACCTAAAGGATCTCATTTCTTATATATCAACCTAGTAAGGACATATTCTGCATGGTATACATACTCAACAGAGAAAATTATGAAGCTACATGGGTTTTACAAATAATTTTTCCATGAACTACACTACTATTGTGCATAGAGTGAACAGAACTTCTACCATCAGTTTAGTAAAGCTATATCAATTCAGAAGTAAGACTATTAAAAAGGTGAGGATTCTTATACTGGTCTTTCACAGATGCCTAGTCAATAGAATAATGTTCACTGGGAGAAGATATAAAAGGCTTTCTCTGAAGCTGTCGCTATTTTAATGAAGAGGCTTTTTCCCCCTTTCCCAAATACAGATTCCTTCAGGATATTATCTGCAAACTATGAATTCCAACTTGAATTTGAATGGGTTTCTTCTGCCAATTGCAGCAATGAATGTGATAAGCATCCTACCTTTATTAATTCTTGCTCCTTTTCTTGAGTGTCTCAGCACTTGCCTATTTCCTCAAAAGAGGGGAGGACACCACTGTCAATATGCATTAGTAAGTATAACTTACTTCCAGAAATTTGTGTATGAATGTATGTACACACATATGTGTCCATGTGTATATGTTCCTACTTTTAAATATTCTAAATGGTAATGGTAGAAGAGCTAGCTAATGATCTTAAGCACATGGGGTCTTTACATTGTCCATGTAAAGTTCTATAGTAGAACCAATAATGCAGCATCATGGAAAATCCCAAGTTTAATTCACTCAAAAATATTGGGAACAAGCTTCAGAAATGGAGCATTAAACACAAAGTATTGTAGGCAGCCAAGCAAAATTTCTTAACTTAAAAAGGAAAAACAATCCAGATTGTCTAAAATGGTTCTTCAGTTACAAGAAAGCAAGTGCAAAATTGAAATATGATAATCTAAAAAGCAAAGGGTATTATTTCGCTCCAAAAATATCAGAGTCAAAATCAGCCAATAAACATTTAAGTGCCTACTCTATGCAAATCACTGTGCTAAGCTCTAAGGATACAAAGAAAAGACATAAGACTGTCACTGCCCTCACCAATCTCAGAGGGAAGACAATACATAAAAAGACGCTGAAGGTAGAAGAGTTAGGTAACCAGTGCAGAGGCATGATGAAGTCCAATACTGTGGTGAGAAATAATGATGTGAATACCTGGATGGCTTCCTAAGTGATGGAGATCTGGCATGCATTCTCAGTGCCCCCCCCTTTACCCTCTCCAATTAGGAGGCAAAGAGCAGGGAATACCAAAGAGGTATGAGTTTTTGAGTTGATGTCACCTCACACGATAATGAGTTTCTGGAAATCGTAAAATCCAGAGCTGATGGGTGGGAAATAACTGTATCCTGCCAAATTGTTTAACTAATAATAAAAAGGAGGAATCCTAAGTGTTCCTTAAAAACAAATCAGAAGTGAATAGGGCATTTGACATGCAAACTCACAACACAAAAGCAATGTAAGAGAGATAAACAAGAACTTTTGGAAAGAAAAAATCTGCAATGAAATTAATTTTCTTGCATCTAAGGCAAGGGAAGTCTATTGGTCTACATGTTTGGGGTTTGTGTGTGTGTATGTGTGTGTGTGTGTGTGTGTGTGTGTGTACGTGTGTGTGTGTGTGTGTGTGTGTGTGTGTACACATACACTCAGGATCAGAGAGTTCAAACTTTCAGAGTCTTTGAAGACCATTGAGATAACAAAGAGTTAACATCAATGGGGAAACTTCAAAGACAAAATAATTAGGAGAGGAAGGGGTAGACTTGGGTTAATACTTTGCAGACATGAACCTACATTCCTTAATGAATGAACTAACATTTTTGGAAGAAAAAAAAAACAGGAAGATCATATGGATAAGCAAAAAGAATAGAAGGAATAGACAGTGGGACAAATCTGAAGTTCATTCCTTCTCATTGTTCACTGAAGAATATCAGGTCTCTCACTTTGGGCTGGAGTTTTGGGAGGAGAGGAAGAGAGAGAGAGAGAGAGAGAGAGAGAGAGAGAGAGAGAGAGAAGAGAGAGAGAGAGAGAGAGAGAGAGAGTTTCTTTAGGAGACCAGGATGAAATTAGAATAAGATAAACAAATGGCAAGGACTAAGTCCTGACTTAAAATTGGAAAAAAATTTAAATAACAGAATTTAATTTAACTCTGCATCTAGATGTGTTTACAATATCATGCAATCAACGATGCACATCTGCCATTTGATCTATAAATTTTTGTGAGGAATCATTTTCAGTCATTAAAACCTAGTATCAAAGCAAACTAAATTTAGAACCAAACCTTTGAATCACTGTATCATAAAATGTTAAATTAAGATTTTAAAAGATAATAAAACATATTTAATCATATTGCTTTTTTCTAAAAATATTAATAATAATTTTAATGGAACCAAAAGGGTTCAAATACCATTGATAAAGTAAAAATTATTTAAATATATTTCATATTTATTACATTATTCTAATTTGTTTTTATAAGTTTTATAGTTATAAAATATGTGAGAGTAAATATATAAAATTTGTATCTAGATATGAATATATAAGGCATCAAATGTCAAAAGATAAATTAATATCTTCAACTCTCCATTAAACCTATGATTTCATTAATATGGATATGCCCTCCAGCAATGCAGATCACAACCTATCATGCCTGCCTGTCCTACATTGTTCTTTCCATTTCCTCCCATAAATTCAACACAAAGAGTCTTCCCAACGTACTGGAGACCTTCCTTGAGTTTCTCTTAGCATCAGGAGGATACTAATGGAGCAAAACGTTCATCAATTTTCCTTTGCTTTTGCGGATATGACTTGCTAATCCATTTTTAATTGTACATTGCTTTGATGTCATCCTAAACATTGTTTTTCCTTCATAACATCTCATATGTAATGTGTAGCAGCTTGCTCACGTCCACTTTGAGACTCCCCATTGCCTTCTGAGTGATTAATATCACTTCTTCAAGAACTATAATGTTCCATGACTCAACACTATACAATATCACCAGAAGAATATTGTGATTAAAAAGATGAACCTTTATTTCTGGGAGAAACTTGAGGTCATTAAAAGAACTTTGTGATTTCCTAAAGGCAATTCAATGGATTCTTCTCTTCCTGTTAATTCTGTCCAAGATATATACTCTAATAGATGAGAACTACAGGGTATTTTTTTCAACTAGTATCAGCTTCTACATTAATGGACTCCAAAGTAAGGTATATGAAAGACGATCCATCAGGGTAAAAGGGAAAAAAATAAGATGTATACTTATATTTACTTGTTATCTAAAAAGTAAATAATTAAGCCTTACTAATACTTCATATATAGATTGACACTGGCACTATTCCTCACTCTAATGGTCATTTGTTACCTAGAGTGAACAAGGAATAGTGGATTGAGTTACACAATACAAAGAGGGAGACAGTGCCTTGCTCTTTTATTCATTTGTTTTCAGTTATTTATGTCCAGTGAAATGGATTTACAATTTATATTATCCAGTTTTAACTGAACTGAATTTGTTTATAAAGATTCCTGCAAATAAACCACAAAATGAAGTTAATGCTAGTAATGTAAACATCAGTGAACAGTTAGAAAACAGTGGAGCTAACACCTCTACTCCTAGGTTGAGCCTTTCATTAGTCCCATTGTAAGGTAAAAACTGATGATCTAACCAAATCAAAGAAGAAGGCACCCAAAAAAAATCAGATACATATATATAAAAAATTGAAACATGTCTTTGCACTCTCTATATAAATAATGAATCTTGCCATGCATGTATTAGCTAAAGATACTATAAAGTCATCACAATTAGCAAGACACGTAAAAATTAAGCCTGTGTTGCCAAAAATTTGTGTCAGCTATTAAAAATTTGGGAACAGAACCAATATAACCTACTTAAATTAACAGTCTTCCAAATTAAGAGTTTCAGTGGATTTTTGAACCTATTTGGTAAATGTATAAATCTACTAAGAACAACTGATTAGCATAAAAAAATGGAAATTTCTAGTCAAATTTCAACAACAACAAAAAAACCTTATGCATAATTGGCGGATGGAACTGAAAATTAGTATCATGATTTAGTCAATGCAATCAACGATGCATGTCTTTCATTTGAATCTGTGTGTTTTTGTGAAGAATCATTTTCAGTCATTAAAACCTAGCATCAAAATAAACTGAACTTGGAAACAGACCTTTGAATCACTATATCACAAAACATTAAACTAAGATTTTTAAAAACGATGAAACATTTAATCACATTGCTATTTCTAAAAATATATCAATAATGCTTTTAGAGGAAGCAAACAGGGTTTTGTACCATTGATAAATAAAATGAAATTTATTTTAAAATATTTTATTTTTTTCCACCATTTTAATTTGTGTTTGTAAGTTGTATAGTTATACAATATATGAATATAGTAGTACATATATAAAATTACATATGTGTGTATACATACATACATGAACACACAGATAGATACATATGACTTAGATATAGAAATAAAGGACAAAGGTACATTTGGTTTTTTACTGGTAGGTAAGATACCAAAAGATTTGGAGACCATTAGTCTATTCAATAAGCAGTGTTTTCCACTTTTTTTCTGTGTGGATAATTGAACCAAATTCATGATTTTGAAATAACAACAACAATAATAGCTAGCATTGATATGGAATTTTAAGGTTCACAAAGTGCTTTACAATTGTCTCATTTTATTCTCACAACAACCCTGGGAAGTAGGTACTATTATTATTCCTATTTTACAGATGAGGAAACTGAGGTAGACAAAGCTTCAGTGATTTACTAGTCACATAGCTAGTAAGTGTATGAGGCAGGATACAAATTCAGGTCTTCTTGACGTGATGCAATCATCACAATGCCACATGCAAAAAAAAAACATCTGGAGAAACTCATTGTCTCTACAGAATCCTGTTTCATTTTGGACTTGATCAAATTTTGTCCAGACTATTCTCATAAATATTTTATATAAATGGGAAAAAAGTATATAGGTTGGATATTGTTGATGTCCCCTCAATTGTCTTTGTTTAATAATAATACATTTTGTTGTTGTTCAATTGTTCAGTCATGTCCAACTCTTAAGGACCCTTTGTGCCATAGCACACTAATGTTTTCCATGAGGTTTTCTTGGGAGTGATTTGCCGTTTCCTGCTCCAATAGATTAGGCAGATAGAAGATAAGTGGTTTGCCCAGGGTCACACAGATAGTAAATGTCTGAAGCTGGATTTGAACTCAGGTCTTCCTGACTCCAGGCCTAGCATTCTGTCCATAGAGCCATCTAGCTGCCTCAATAACACAATAACACATAACAAATAGTAGGCGCTTAATAAATGTTGATTGATTAATAAGATCTGGGCTTTTTTCAAAGCTTTTGATATTGCCATCCATCCCACCACACCCTTCATCTCTCAATTCCCTCAAAATTGTTTCATCTCTGATATGGGTTTCTCCTGTGTATATTTGGCCTAGTCCAGCTTCTTTATTTTCTTCAGTAAAATTTCCACTTCCCTTAAAAACACATCAGAGACC